ATTAATGACATAGAGACTAAAAAACAATACAAAAAATCAATGAAACCAAGAGCTGGTTTTTTGAAAAGGTAAATAAGATTGATGCACCTTTAGCCATGCTCACTTAGAAACAAAGAGAGAGGACCCAAATANTAAATAAGATTGATGCACCTTTAGCCAGACTCACTAAGAAACAAAGAGAGAGGACCCAAATAAATGAAATCAGAAATGAAAGAGGCGATATAACAAATGACCCAACAGAAATACAAAGGATTGCAAGAAAATACTATGAGCAACTGTATGCCAACAAATTTGACAACATGGGGGAAATGGACAAATTCCTAGAAGCATACAACCTTCCAAAGCTGAATCAAGCCTGGCTGGGTGTGGCTCAGCAGTTGAGCATCGACCTAGGATTCAGGAAATCGGGGTTTGATTCCCGGTCAGGGCACATGCCAGGGGTTGCCGGCTGCAGCCGATCAATGACTCTCTCATCATTGATGTTTCTATCTCTCTCTCTCCCCCTCCTTTCCTCTCTCTGAAATCAATAAGGATATGTTTAAAACAAATAAGTAAAATAAAAAACAAAGCTGAATAAAGAAGAGGCAGAAAACCTGAATAGGCCGATAACAACTAATGAAATTGAAGCAGTAATCAAAAAACTCCCAGCAAACCAAAGTCCTGGACCAGATGGATTTACAGGCGAGTTTTACCAAACATTCAAAGAAGAATTAACACCTATTCTATTCAAACTATTCCAGAAAATTCAAGAGGAGGGAAAACTCCCAAACTCTTTTTATGAGGCCAGCATCACCCTAATCCCAAAACCAGATAAAGATACTACAAAGAAAGAAAATTACAGGCCAATATCCCTGATGAACATAGATGCTAAAATCCTCACTAAAATACTAGCAAACCGGATCCAGCAATACATTAAAAAGATCATACATCATGACCAAGTGGGATTTATTCCGGGGATGCAAGGCTGGTACAACATCCGCAAATCAATAAATGTGATACATCACATAAACAAAATGAAGGACAAAAATCATATGATCATATCAATAGATGCAGAAAAAGCATTCGACAAAATCCAGCACCCATTTCTGATAAAAACTCTCAGCAAAGTGGGAATAGAGGGATCATACCTCAACATAATAAAGGCCATATATGACAGACCTACAGCCAACATCATACTCAATGGGCAAAAACTAAAACCATTTCCATTAAAAACCGGAACAAGACAGGGATGTCCACTTTCACCACTCTTATTCAACATAGTACTGGAAGTCCTCGCCATAGCCATCAGACAGGAAGAAAACATAAAAGGTATCCAAATTGGAAAGGAGGAAGTAAAACTGTCATTATTTGCAGATGACATGATATTGTACATAGAAAACCCTAAAGACTCCATCAAAGTACTACTAGATTTGATAAACGAATTTGGCAAGGTAGCTGGATACAAAATCAACATCCGGAAATCAATGGCATTCTTATACACCAACAATGAACTTTCAGAGAGAGAAACTAAAAAAGCAATACCATTTACCATTGCAACTAAAAAAATAAGATACCTAGGAATAAACTTAACCAAGGATGTAAAAGACCTGTACTCAGAAAACTACATGACACTGAAAAAAGAAATAGAGGAAGATTTAAACAAGTGGAAGAATATACCATGCTCATGGATTGGAAGAATTAATATCATTAAAATGTCCATACTACCCAAAGCAATTTATAAATTCAATGCAATTCCTATTAAAATACCAACAGCATATTTCACAGACCTAGAACAAACATTTCGAAAATTTATATGGAACCAAAAAAGACCCCGAATAGCTGCAGCCATCTTGAGAAAAAAGAACAGAGTGGGAGGGATCACATTACCAGACTTCAAACTGTATTACAAAGCCACTGTAATCAAAACGGCCTGGTATTGGTACAACAACAGGCATATAGATCAATGGAACAGAACAGAGACCCCAGAAATAGACCCACGCCATTATGGTCAGTTAATATTTGACAAAGGAGGCAAGAGTATCCAATGGAGTAAAGACAGTCTCTTCAATAAGTGGTGCTGGGAAAATTGGACAGATACATGCAAAAGAATGAAACTAGACCACCAACTTTCACCATACACAAAAATAAACTCAAAATGGATAAAAGACTTAAATGTAAGTCACGAAACCATAAAAATCCTGGAAGAAAACATAGGCAGTAAAGTCACAGACATCCCACGTAGTGGACTTTTCACTGATACATCTCCTAGGGCAAGAGAAACAAAGGAAAAAATAAACATATGGGACTACATCAAACTAAAAAGCTTCTGCACAGCAAAAGAAAACAGCCTCAAAATACAAAGGAACCCCACGGTCTGGGAAAACATATTTGCCAAGGATGAATCTGATAAGGGGCTAATTTCCAAAGTGTACAAAGAACTCATAGCACTCAGCAAGAGGAAGACAAACAACCCAATTAAGAAATGGGCAAAGGACTTAAATAGACACTTCTCCAAAGAGGACATACGGATGGCCAAGAGACACATGAGAAAATGCTCGACGTCGCTAATCATCAGAGAGATGCAAATTAAAACCACAATGAGGTATCACTTCACACCTGTCAGAATGGCTGCCATCAACAAATCAACAAACAACATGTGCTGGCGAGGGTGTGGAGAAAGGGGAACCCTAGTACACTGCTGGTGGGAATGCAGACTGGTGCAGCCACTATGGAAAACAGTATGGAGGTTCCTCAAAAAATTAAAAATGGAGCTGCCGTTTGACCCAGTGATTCCACTCCTAGGAATGTATCCTAAGAATCCTGAAACATTCATCAGAAAGGATATATGTACCCCGATGTTCATAGCAGCACAGTTTACAATAGCTAAGATCTGGAAACAGCCCAAGTGCCCATCAGTAGATGAGTGGATAAAAAAGCTGTGGGACATTTACACCATGGAATACTACGCAGCTGTAAAGAAGAAGAATCTCGTACCCTTTGGGACAGTATGGATGGACCTGGAGAATATTATGCTAAGTGAAATAAGCCAGGCAGAGAAAGACAAATATCACATGATCTCGCTTATACGTGGAATCTAAAGAACTTAATAAACTGATGAACAGAATAGATTCAATGACATGGAAGCATAGATGAGACTGATGAATGTCAGAGGGATGGAGGAGGGCGGGTGGGTGGAGGGGGAGAGAGTAACCAAAGAATTTATATGCACATATGCACAACCCAAGGACCTGTCTCTTATACACATCTAGATGTGTATAAGAGACAGTGAATAGACACTTCTCCAAAAAGGACATACAGATGGCCAAGAGGCACATGAGAAAATGCTCAACATCACTAATCACCAGAGAGATGCAAATTAAAACCATAATGATATATCACTTCACACCTGTCAGAATGGCTACCATCAATAAGTCAACAAACAACATGTGCTGGAGAGGTGGTGGAGAAAGGGGAACCCTGGTACCCTGCTCATAGGAATGCAGACTGGTGCAACCACTATGGAAAACAGTATGGAGGTTCCTCAAAAAGTTAAAAATGGAACTGCCTTTTGACCCAGTGATCCCACTCCTAGGAATTTATCCTAAGAATCTTGAGACACTAATCAGAAAGAATATATGCATCCCTATGTTCATAGCAGCGCAGTTTACAATAGCCAAGATCTGGAAACAGCCCCAAGTGCCCATCAGTAGATGAGTGGATAAAAATGCTGTGGGTCATTTACACCATGGAATACTATGCAGCTGTAAAGAAGGATCTCATACCCTTTGGGACAGTATGGATGGACCTGGAGAATATTATGCTAAGTGAAATAAGCCTGGCAGAGAAAGACAAACATCACATGATCTTGCTTATATGTGGCATCTAAAGAACTTAATAAACTGATGAACAGAATAGGTTCAGTGACATGGAAGCATAGATCATACTTATGAATGTCAGAGGGATGGAGGAGGGCGAGTGGGTGGAGGAGGAGAGATTAACCAAAGAATTTATATGCATATATGCACAACCCAGGACACAGACAATGGTGGGGAGAGCAACTGGGGAGGGAGATGGGACAGGGTGGAATGGGGCATTGGGAAGAAAAAGGGACATCTGTAATATTTTAAACAAAAGTAATAAACATTAAAAGAAAAGAAAATAAAAATAAAATAAAATTGGATCCTTCAAAGATAAAAAAAAAAAAAAAGATATTTAGTTTTAGTATCTGAGTTACAGTGATTATCTATGTTCTTATAATTTTCAAAAGGATCTAGTTAATTCTTACAGCCTTCTAAGCAAGGTAACATCATTAATTGAAAATTAATTGAACTTGACCTTAGTGAATCAAATGACTATTGGCTTGCTTAACTAAACCATTCTTCACACTGTGAAATGGAACTATTTTTTTTGTCTTCATGAGTGAAGAGTGAACAAGTCGAAACCCTTGACTCCAAATTTTATTTACTTTCATTCATGAAAATGAATGTTTATTTTAAAATGTTGCCTGTAAAAAATTTCAGTTAAGTGAACATTTCTGGAGAAAAAAATTATTTAAGATGGCTTTTCTCTGGAGCATTATTTCAGGTTTTGTAATTTAAAATCACTACTTTGACTTCATTTGCTTAATCTAAAATTTCACTTTCTTCTTAGAAACATCACTTGTTGTGAAAGCCAATATTTTTAGATATGACTGAACATGGGCTTGCACTTACTCTTACTGAAATACCTTCTACAGCTCCAGTTATCAACGGGAATCCCATGTATCAGGTAAGAGTAGTTTTGCTTTTTTCATTGAAAACTAGTCAATTTTTTTTCCTTAAATTCAGTATTAGCTTTTATTTAGAAAAAGTGTGTCACTTTTTATGATTGGCCACTTAGTTTGAACGTTTTTAGTTTTTTCACCGACATTGATTTGTCTTCCTTGTAGGCCATTTAAAATTGTTTTAGATATATTTAAAACTCTATCTTAGGCCACGTATAACCTTTTGTGTTGATTTAGCTGCTTTTTCAGCCTCCCTTAATTGGCTCAAAAGTCCTGGTATTGTGTCTTAAAGTTTATCCTACCCACAATTTCTTCTGATGAATGGTTTAAAAATATAACTCTAATGCATACCACAGTTTATTCATATTCATTCATAGCTGTGAGTTCAACTGTCTAATATTTAAAGTATTGTTTTGAGCATGACTTCTACCTATAGGACTGGTCTCCAGAAAGAGAGGGTGTAGTTTAAATTTAGCATTTGATCATTTAAAATAATCTATTCAAGAAGTCTTATCTACATATGTATGTGAAAAGGTCACTTTTCTTTGGAGTTTAAAAACAAGCAAATATTGTACTTCTAGCTTATAATTTTGTTTAACATCATGTCAAAAGGCACTGAGATTTTTTTTTATGACCCCATTGAAAATTACTTTTTTTTTTTTTTTACAAGCTGGAAAGTTATCATTTGAACACCACTAACGGAACACAGTATACAACTAATTATTCACAAATAATGACTCATCCCAAGAGATATACCACATGGAATTATTGTCCTCAATACTTGATACAACAAGTAAGTATGAATTTTACCTTCAGATAGGTTTTGTTTTCTTTTGTTTTCTTCTTTTGCAGGGTTTATTTTGGGGAAGGGAGTTGATCTTTCTATCTCAATGTACCTATTTTCTATGACCTTATTATATTAAGTTTTACATTGGTGGGGAGGACCTATTCTTACTTAGGGGTATTGAATTTCTCCTACATGCCCATTGATCCAATTGTATTCTTCTCCTTGAGCATCTAAAGTCCCCAATAATTGGTGAATCTGAATATTTTTAAAAGAAAAATGATTGTTTTATAGATGAATTAACAGAAAGTGTGTCATCAAAGAATGGTTTATTTCTAGATTGTGTTCATGCAAGTTAACCCTGGAGAGATCCTCACCATCAAGTCTGATGATGGGAACATTCAGAATATTCAAGGTCAGTAAAAGTATAATTAAATATGTGCTATTTGATATCAAATAGAGTGAGTTTAAGTATTATAGTGAAATGACTTTATTAGTAATTTATCCCAGTAATATCCTTTTATGTTTGAGCCACATTGAATGTTCTTAAAGTTACATTATTCCTCATAAAAGCATAGTATCAAAGAACCACCAGGGCTCACCTTGCTAGTCTTACTAGAGACCTTCCTGTAAGGTACTTTTAAAAATTGAAGATTAACTCAAGAATTCCATTTGAAAAAGTCCAGATTTTGGAGATATTGACAGCCACTGATAGTTTGAGACCATTCTCCTATAGGAGATGACTGTTGAAGCTTGAATGATGGCTCATTCATTCACACATTCAACAAGTATTTCTTTAGTGCCTAGCACTATACTAGACACTTAAGATAGAACAATGTACAGGAGGGGGGAAATTATTTATATGTAAATAATTGCCTCTTCATATGTATATATCCATGTATATATGTATTTATAGCAAATATATAGCATATAGAATTGCTTCAGTGGTAATATAAAATTAATAAATATTTACTTCATACAAGATTTACTATTAATTCTTTCAAAGTGAGGCAATTATTTCTATTTTATGCCAGTTATTTTGTGTCCTAAAGTCATTTTAAGCTATCTATGTCAAAATTTCTTAAAACATTATCATTTGCCCATATACATATGCATTTATTTCTGGACTCAATTATGTTCCAGTGGTCTGTGTGTTGGTTTTTCTGCCAATACCATGCTGTTTTGATTATTGTTGCTTTGTAATATAATTTGAAGTCAGAGAGTGTGATACCTTTGGCTTCATTCTTTTTTCTCAGGATTGCTTTGGCTATTCGGGGTCTGTTGTGGTAGTAAAGGGTAAAGGGGTCAACTATATGGTTGGGTGGTGGGCACACAATGCAATATATACAGATGATGTATCATAGAATCGTACACTCGGAACCTATATAATCTTATTAACCAGTGTTACCCCAATAAATTTAATTTAAAAACATTATTGCCCAGTGGTGTGGCTCTGTTGGTTGAGCATTATCCCATGCACCAGAAGGTTGCTGGTTCAATTCCTGGTCAGGGCACATGCCCGGGTTTCAGGCTTGATCCCCAGTAGGGGCATGAAGGAGGCAGCTGACTGATGTTTCTCTCTCACCAGTGTTCCTATCTCTCTCTCTCTCCCCCTTCCTCTCTCTGAAATCAATACAAACTTTTTTTTTAAATGTCTTTATTGATTTCAGGGAGAGGAAGGGAGAATGAGAGAGAGAGAGAGAGAGAGAAACATCAATGATGAGAGAGTCATTGATCGGCTGCCTCCTGCATGCCCCCAGCAGGGGATCGAGCCCACAAACCAGGCATGTGCCCTGACTGGGAATAGAATTGTGATCTCCTGGATCATAGGTCAATGCTGAACCACTCAGCCACACCAGTCAGGCACAAACATATTTTTTTTAAATTATCATTTAGCAATGGATTCCATATGGCTACAATATAAAGTTTATCAAGCACTCACACTTATTATTTTCCCCATTAATAAAAGTAAATTACCATTCCAGGACTTGAAAGCCACATGTATTTTTAGAATTAAGATTAATTATAATAATTTCAGATAAACAAAAGAATGATGACACATATGTCTCCATTCTGTGTTGTATTTTTAGTTCCTATGAAATTGTAGGTTTAAGGTATAAGAATACCTAGTATAAATGTAGGGTATCACATGAGTGGCATTGGGTCCTTCTCCATAATATTCTGTTTCCTAAAAACTATCTCATTTTACTATGTATTATTGGTGAAAAGCCTTAAACTGAACATTGATTTAAGTTTTATTATGTAACATCACTATAAGAAATATATTTTATGGTACAGAATAAAACTTCTATTCAATGTTTAAATATTTTAGGTGAGAAAGAACAGGTAAGTAAAGTACAATTATACTGGAAGGCTGATAGTTAATTTTTATTAGAGGTAAAATTTGCCAACATTTTTATAATATAAAATTTTACCCCATTCCCATTATGTGCTTTAGTTATTTTTCATCATTTTTGATGCATTTTCACTGATTCATCTGCATAATTACCTACTCTCTTTTGCAAGTAAACAACATACACTTTCAAAATGGCTGGTTGTTGTTAAAGCTTGGAGCTGGTTTTCACTGTGCAAAATTAAATGGACTTTGCTTAAAGTTATTAAATAATTAATAACAATTTTCTTTTAGGACCAGCTGATGTACCTCTGATGTCAACAAGTGGTATTTTGCCACCAATATATCTTCCTCCTGGTTACACATCTCAGGTATACTAGTGTGGTTTTACTTGGTGTTTAGCTCTAAATCATCATTTAACAGTTTTCATTATGTCACTATAATAAAATAACTTCTAGATTACTATTTATTTATTCACTTCATTATTATCTTCATTGCTAAAAAGCAATTGCAGTGGTGTTTAACCAAACCTCCCTTAGATTGCCTTATAAATAGTGCCTTATTCATCTAATGAATTTGTATCTCATTAACATTAAACCTCCATTGTTTTTGTTTTTGAGAACTTTAACTAATCTTAAATATCTATTATAATTGCTATCTATAGTAATGGCTTCTGAAAATGTGTGGCCTTTAATCCCTAAAATTACTTTCAGGTCAGTGGTATTTCATTCTCACTTGCCAGACTATAAACAACATTTTTTTAAAACTCCTCAAATATTTATCAAGCAATGAAAATGGGCAGGAAAAAATGGCTCCTACAGAGATTAATAAGATATTCTATGGCCTCAAAAGTTTCATACTAGAGAATATTTCTTTTTTACTACACCACTGTGAAGATTGGAGTGGTGAACATACAATACAGTGTACTGATGATGTGTTGTGGAATTGCACATCTGAAACCTATATAATTTTGTTAACCAATGTCACCCCAATAAATTCAATGAAAAAGAAAAAAGAACACACTAATAAGTAAACATAATATGCTGTGCTTCTAAATGGAATTATCTATTTGGGCAATAGCTAACAAAAATACAAATCCATATACCCTTTCACCCAGCAATTCCACTTTGAGGAATTTACCATAAAGATGTATTTTCACAAATCTGAAATAATTAATGTACAGGTTTATTCATTACAATATTGTTTCTAATCACAAAAGGCTAGAACAATCTATATGCTTGTCAATGGGTGGGGGCCTTGAAGCACTATATAATGGAGCACTCTGCAGCTGTGTAAAAAATAGGAAAGCTCTATGTACTAATATAGAAAACTCAAGATGTATTGCTAAGTGTGAAAAGCAAGGTACTGAATAGTGCAAATAATTCTACCTTTATTAATAAAAAGGATGAAAAATAAGAATCTGCATTATTATGTGCTTGTATAGGCACAAAGAAATTCTGGAAGGACTCATAAGAAACTAAGAACATTAGTTATCCACTTGGGTGAGCAATGAACAGATAAGGGTTAAGAGATAAACTTTTCATGTCTACTTTTTTTAAAAATATATATCTTTATTAATTTCAGAGAGAGGAAGGGAGAGAGAGAGACAGAAACATCAATGATGAGACAGTCATTGATCGGCTGCCTCCTGCACACCCCCAACTGGGGATCGAGCCCACAACCCGGGCACGTGCCCTGACCGGGAATAGAAAGAACCTCAATCTCCTGGTTCCTAGGTCGGTGCTCAACCACTGAGCCACACCCAGGCTGGCTCATGTATACTTTTTTATACTTTATGGTTTTCAACCATGTCAATATATTATCTATTGTCAAAAATTACCTTTTTGAAAGCTGCACATGTGGGAAAAGGAATTATCTTGCCTTCTGCTTGACATAGTTTCACTTGATTATTGATTTTTAATCCTTTAGGTTTTCTAATTTCAGAAAACAAGCTGTAAATCTAAAACTTAGTAGGAAAAATGCTAATTTTATGGATTCTAATATGTTTATATGATTCTGTATTTCATTTTAGGTGGTGGAAGAAAATGGGATTCACAAAATTGTCATTGTACCTCAGGCAATTGACTATAACATTGCCATACCTGCTCCTATACCACAAATATCACACTTCATCACACCAGCCATTACTATGTATCCACAAGCCCCTCAGTTGATATATCTCTCAGCTCAAGGAGAATTTCCACCACCTTACATCCAAGAGCCTGTGCCACAGCAGCTGCCACCACCACCACCACCACCACCATTTATATACCACGAGCAGAATGGTATATACTTTTCTTAACCAAAAAAATATTTTCAGTTTGTTAAAATTAACAGCTTTGGGCAATTATTAAAATGATAAAAGCAGAGATATTAACATTTCCCTGAATGATTGCATTTTATGCACGTATATTAGGATTGATGAAAATAAGCACTGGATTGTGTCTTAGGCAAAATGCCCTTAAACAGAATTTTGTATAAATTTTTTGTACTTTGATATAGCAAGTGATTTTTGATATTTATTTTCCTAACTGAGTCTATAAAATCATATTGGAAAATCTAAAAAGAATGTGTTGGGGTTTTTTTGGTTTTAGCATGTTTTGGTTTATTTAATTTCATTTTTATTTTTCTAATGTTTTTTTATTTTTCAATTACAGTTGACATTCAATATTATGTTAGTTTCAGGAGTACAGCATAGTGGTTTTGCATTTATTTAACTGATGAAGTGATCCCCCAATAAGTCTTGAACCCACCTCACACCATATATAGTTATTACAATATTATTGACTAAATTGTGGTATCTTATACCACTTTAACTATTTTGCAACTGCCAATTTTTACTTCTTAATCCCGTCACCATTTTCACTCAGTCTCTCCATCCCTCCCATCTGGCAACTATCAGTTTGTTTTCTATAAGTCTGTTTCTGGGTTTGTTTGTTTGTTTATTTGTTTTGCTCTTTAGAGTCCACAAATAATGAAATCATATGGTATTTGTCTTTCACTTAGAATGGTACCCTCCAGGTCCATACATGTTGTTGCAATCTATTCTTCCCCTAAGTTTATTGCACATCCTTATAACCAGTGTTTTGAACTCTGAATCCGTAGATTGCTTATCTGCATTTTGTTTAGTTCTTTTTCTGGAGTACTATCCTCTTCTTTCACTGGGGACATGTTTCTTTCTTCGTCACTTTGGCTGCCTCCCTGTGTTTGTTTCTATGTGTTAGATCGATCTACTACATCTCCCAGTCTGCAGAGTGGTCTTACATAGTAGGTATCCCACAGGGCCCAGTGGCGTAGTCTCCCTAATCTCCTGAGCCAGGTGCTCTAGGGGTGTCCCTTGTGTGGGTTGTGTGTGCTCTCCTATTGTTGTTGAGCCTTGATTGCTGTTGGCACATTAGTGGGTGGTTTTTTCCCTTAGGCTGACTGGCTGTGAGGACTGGCTGTGACTACAGTGACTACAGTACAGCTGACCCAGTGGAGCACGTGTGTCATTTGTGGTGCCAACTGGGTGGTATTGTGGTATGGTTTGAAGCCTACAAATAGGTGTGTTGGTTCTGGGGCCTCTTTGGTGGGGATCTGGTGAAGGCCAGGTCAGCTGCTGCTTATGCCTTGCCCAGGGCCACCTGGTAGGAGCTATGAAGTGATTTGCAATTGGTAGCTGTTTGTGCTGAGCTTGGAGGCACCTGAGAGTGATTATGCTGCAAACTGAAGCTGACTGCCACTAGTGCTGGGCTTGGAACTACTTAGCAAGAGGTACAGGGCACACTGAGACCAGCCGCTGCTTGTCTCAGGGGTTTGTGGGCCTTTGAGATATTTTAGGAAAGTCTGAAGTCTGGGCACAGGTTGGCTGCTAGTGTGAATTAGCCTCTGTAAGAGGTTTAGGCCAGAATGTGAATTGGGTGGGGTAGCGTTTCAGAAACTCACCAGGGAGGGGTGTGACTGGTGTTATCCATGTTGATGGAGACCGATTTTTTGCCTGCCTGCACCTGCAGGCTGGGGGAGGCGGGAAAGGGCTCAACAAAGGAACAATGTTACCTACCAGCCCTGGAGAGAGCTGCCCTGAGCTCTCTCCCTGAAGTCAGACAGTTCCGTTCCTACCTGTATGTCCCTGGTGCTTTTTGAGCTCCTGTCCCTTCTCTGGACCTTAGGGGTAGTGTTTGTGAGCAAATAAGCCTCTCCTTGGTCCCTTTAAGAGGATGCCTGGATCTACAGCAGCCCTCCATCTCACCCAGACAGAATCTCTGTTGATTTTCACAGCCAGCTGTTGTGGGGACTCCTCCTCCCAGCACTGGTGCTCTGGGCTGGGAATCCTGGTGTAGGACTGGGACCATTTGCTTCCTCAGTAGGGACCTCCACAGCCAAGATATCCCTCCTGATTCTAAACTGCTACACGTGGCTGTGGGACCAGCCCATTTCACATCTCCACCCCTTCTTCCAGTCTCAACGTGGCTTCTTTAGTTGTGATTTTGATGTGGTCATGGGAGAGGTGAAGACAGCATTTACCTACTCTGCCATCTTGACCGGAAATCATAAAAGAATGTTTTGATTATTAATGCCATACAGTGAGAATATAAAAAAAACTGAAGAGTCAACATTACAATCATTTTAGGACTTTAAAATCTGGAAGTATAGTTACACCCTAGGAAAACACTATCTGTATTTGCTCATATTTTTCTTTCTGTACATATGAAAATACATTATAAAGATATACACACACATATCTAGTATCTGTATTAAAGCAAAGTAGGAAAAATTTTTTAAGTAAAGCATGGCTTTTTAGTGTTTTGATGGTTTGAAAAAGATTTAAAAGACCTTCATATATATAAATTACTATAATTATTAAACAGTATTTCATTGTCTCTTTTAGAAACCTATTCCCATGGAAGAACAAATTATAACCAACTTGATGAAAGGGCTGCAAAAATGGGAGAACATATGAAGAAAAATATGAGAGAACTCCAATTTGGTGAACATAGGAATAATAGCTATATGCTTAACAACACCTCTTTGCTTGTGAGCAAAACTAATGATTTTTCCAGAATTCCTATTACTCCAAGCACTTACACTGTGGACTATGCTCCAAGCACCTACACTGTTGACAATACTTCAAGCATTTACACTGTGAGCAATGCTCCCAGCATCTACACTATTGACAATACTTTGACTACCTACACTATGGACAATGCTCCACTCACTTACATTGTTGACAGTACTTCAAGCATCTACACTGTGGACAATACTTTGAGTACTTACACTGTGGAAAATGATCCATGCACCTACACTGTGAACAGTGCTCTGAGAAGCTACACTGTTGACAATACTTTGAGCACTTACACTGTGGACAGTGTTCAGAATACCTACACCATAAACAATACTCCAAGTACCTATACTGTGAATAATAATCTGAACATTCACGCTGCTGACCATATTCACAGTACTTACACTGTTGATAACCCTCTAAGCACTTATATCACTGACAATACTCCCAGCAATTCTACTGACCATGCTCCTAGTATTTCCACTACAGATGCTGCTCTGCATCTTTCTACTAATGATAGCATCTCCATCCCTTCCAGCATGAATTATGCCCACAAGACTTCCACCTTTGACAATACACCCAGATCATCACCTATTATCAGTACTCCAAGCTCTTCCATTTCAGACAGTGTTCCCAACACTCCCATCTTTGAAAATGTTCTCAATATATCTGCAATTGATGGTGCTCTCAGTACTTCCAATGCAGCCAGCACATCCAACACTGCCAATGCTCATGTTGACATTAGTCATGGAAAAAAACAGAGTGCTATGAGAAGCAAAGATATCAAGCAGAAACCAGGTGGAAAACAAAGCAAGAGCCCATCATCAAAGGCAGCAGAAAGAGGTAAGGTAAAGAGTTTGGTTTTGTTACCAATTAATGTTTGGGAATCTTAGGACATTTTAAATATTTAGGTGCCATTTTCTATTTCCATTTTCTCTTCTTTGTGCCCCTACCTCTAACTTCTTAATGAGGCCACAATTAGGATGACTTTTTAAATCATTAAGAAATGTTCATCTTCATGGAAAATGTGTGAGGGACCTTATGTGCACACCACATAACTGTTCCTAGTTGTCAGTGAAACATTCAAATTACTCTACAGTCCTAACAAGTTCACATGATTTTACTTAAATTGGGGACTTTTCATTTTTGTTTGAGTTTGTTTACTAGTATACACTTTAAATCACTTTTTATTTTTCAATTACAGTTGACATACTATTATGATAGTTTCAGGAGTAAAACCCAGTGATTAGACATTATATAACTCACTAAGTGATCATCCCAATAAATCTCATACCTATCTCACACCATACATAGTTATTAGAATATTATTGACTATATTCTGTATACTGTACTTTATATCCCCATGACAATTCTGTAACAACCACTTTGTATGTCTTAATCTCTACATTTTTCACCCATCCCCCACCCCCTCCCATCTGGCAACCATCAAAATGTTTTCTGTATCTATGAGTCTGTTTCTGTTCTGCTTGTTTATTTTATTTTGTTTTTTAAGTTTAATTATTGATAGATATGTATTTGTTGCCCTTTTGTTGTTCATATTTTTTATCTCTTTGTTGTTCTTCTTCTTAAAGAAGACCCTTTAACATTTCATATAGTACTGGTTTGGTGGTGATGAACTCCTTTAGATTTTTTTTGGGGGGGGTCTGGGAAGCTCTTTATATGTCCTTCAATTCTAAACGGTAGCTTTGCTGGGTAGAGTAATCTTGGTTGTAGGTCCTCACTTTTCATCACTTTGAATATTTCTTGCCACTCGCTTCTGACCTGCAAAGTTTCTGTTGAGAAATCAGCTGACAGTCTTATTGAGCTACTTTGTAGGTTACGAACTGCTTTTCCATTGCTGCTTTTAAGATTCTCTTTTTATCTTTAATCTTTTGCATTTTAATTATGATGTGTCTTAGTGTGGGCTTCTTTGAGTTCATCTTGTTTGGGACTCTGCACTGCCCGGACCTGTAAGTCTATTTCCTTCAACAGGTTAGGAAAGTTTTCTGTCATTTTTTTATTAAATTTATTGGAGTGACACTGGTCAATAGGGTCATATAGGTTTCAAGTGTACATTTCTGTGATACATGATCTGTATGTTGTATTTGTGTCCACCACCCAAAGTCAAATCATCTTCTGTCACCATATATTTGGCTCCCTTTACCTTTACTAATCCCAGTGAATGGAGGTTCCTTTTACTCCACAACCTCTCCAATACTTGTTATTACCTGTCTTGTTGATAATAGCCATTCTAACAGGTGTGAGGTTGTATCACATAGTGGTTTTTAATATTTTTATTGATTTTTAGAGAGAGAGGAAGGGAGAAGGAGAAAGAAAAGGAAACATCGATATGAGAGAGAAATATGGATTGGCTGCCTCCTGCACGCTCCTACCAGGGATCGAGCCTGCAGCCCAGGAATGTGCCCTGACCAGAAACCAAACTAGCAACCTTTTGGTGCACAGGATGACACTCTAACCAGCTGAGCCACAGTGGGGCTCACATAGTGGTTTTGATTTGCATTTTCCTTATAACTAGTGAAGTTAGATATCTTTTCCTGTATCTCTTAGCTGTTTGTATGTCCTCTCGGGAAAAGTGTCTGTTCAGGTCCTCTGCCCATATTTTAATTGGATTGTTTGTTTGATGTTCAGTTGTATGAGTTCTTAATATATTTTGGATATTAACCCCTTGTTGGAGCTGTTGTTTGCAAATATCTCCCATTTGCTTACTTGCCATTTTGTTTTGTTGTTGGTTTCTTTTGCTGTGCAGAAGTCTTTAATTAGATATAGTCCAATTCACTTATTTTTGCCTTTACTTCCCTTGCCTTTGGGGTCAAATTCATAAAATGTTCCCTACAGCCAAGGTCAATAAGTTTACTACCTATGTTTTCTTCTATTTAATTTATTGTTTCACATGTTGTATTTAGGTCTTTGATACATTTTGAAAAAATTTTTGTACATGGGGACAGACTGTAATCTAGTTTCATTCTTTTGCATGTGGTTTTCCAATTCTCCCAGCACCATTTATTGAAGAGGCTTTCCTTTCTACACTGTGTGTTTTTGGCTCCTTTGTCAAAAATGATCTGCCCATAAACATGTGGTTTTTATTTCTGGGCTCTCAGTTCTCTTCCATTGGTCACGGTGTCTGTTTTTCTGCTAGTACCATGCTGTTTTGATTATTGTAGCTCTGTAGTAAAATTTAAAGTCAGGTAGTGTGATACCTTTTGCTTCATTTTTTTCTCAAGATTGCTTTGGCTATTCAGGGTCTTTTGTGATTCCATACAAACCTGATGATTTTTTGTTGTTGCATTTCTTTAAAAATGACAATGGGATTTTGATGGAGATTGCATTAAATCTGTATATTGTTTTGGGTAATAAAGTCATTTTAACTATGTCGATTCCTCCAATTCATGAACATGGAATATCTTTTTTATTTCATTTTGTTTTTCAATCTCTTTTAATCATGCTTTGTAGTTTGCAGTATTTAGGTCCTTCATGTCCTTTGTTTATTTCTAGGCCTTTATTATATTGAGGTACTTTCCTTCTATATCCATTTTATTGAGTGTTTTAATCATAAATGGATGTTTTATCTTATCAAATGTTTTTCTGCATCTATTGATAAAGTCATATGATTTTTTAACTTTATTTTTATTGTTGACACTATTACAGATGTCCCCATTTTCCCCACCTTTGCCCACCTCCACCCAGCCCCTGCCCCTCCTTCCCTCTGGCCATTACCACACTGTTGTCTGTGTCTGTGGGTTATGCACATATGTTCTTTGGCTAATCCCTTCACCTCCTTTCATCCATTCCCCCTTTCCCCTGTCCCCTCTAACAGTGTGTTTGTTCCATGTATCTATGCCTCTGCTTCTATTTTTTCGTCAGTTTAGGTTGTTTATTAGACTACACATATAAATGAAACCATGTGGTATTTGTCTTTCTTTGACTGGCTTATTTCACATAGAATAATAATATCCAGGTCTATCCATGCTGTTGCAAAAGGTAAGAGTTCCTTCTTTTTTATGGCTGTGTAGTATTCTATTGTGTAAATGTCCCATTCATCTACTGATGGGAACTTGGGCTGTTTCCAGATCTGAGCTATTGTAAATAACACTGCTATGAACATAGGATGGATATATTCTTTCAAATTGGAGTTTCGGGATTCTTAGGATATATTCCTAGAAGGGGGATCATTGGATCAAAAGGCAGTTCCATTTTTTAATTTTTTGAGGAAACTCCGTACTGTTTTCTACAGTGGCTACACCAGTCTGCATTCTCACCAACAGTACACAAGGGTTCCCTTTTCTCCATATCCTTGCCAGCACTTGTTTGTTGATTTATTGATGGTAGCCATTCTGGCAGGAAGATCAAATGATTTTTATCCTTTAACATGGTATATTACATTGATCGATTTGCATATGTTGAACCATCTTTGTGCTCCTGGAATGAATCCCACTTGATCATGATGTGTTATTTTTAAGTATTGTTTTATTGAATTTGCTATTATTTAGTTTAAGATTTTTACATCTGTATTCATCAGAGATATTGGTTTGTAGTTTTCTTTTTTGTTATTATCCATGCCAGGTTTTGGTATCAGGGTTATGTTGGCCTCATAAAATGTTTTAGGAAGTATTGCCTCTTCTTCAATTTTTGGAATAGTTTGAGAAGGATATGTATCAAATCTCCTTTGAATGCTTGATAGAATTTACTAGTGAAGCCATCTGGTCCTGGGCTTTTATTTTGGGGAGGAGGTTTTTAATGGTTGTTTCATTTTCTTCACTGTTTATCAGTCTATTTAGGTTTTCTAATTCTTCGTGATTTAGTCTAGAAAGGTTATATATTTCTAGGAACTTATCCATTTCCTCTAGGTTATTGAATTTGGTGGCATATAGCCTTTCATAATATTCTAGTATGATCCTTTGTATATCTGTGATGTTTGTGGTAACTTCTGTCATTACTTTTTCAAATAGGTTTTCAATCTCTTGCTCTCTCTCTTCTCTTTCCAGCACCCCCATGAAATGAATGTTGGTATGCTTGATGTTGACCTAGAGGCTCCTTAAACTATCCTCATTTTGAGAGGATCTTTTTTCTTTTTGCTTTTCTGATTGGGTGTTTTTTGCTTCCTTATATTCCAAATCTCTGATTTGATTCTCAGCTTCATCTACTCTACTGTTCATTCCTATAAATTATTTTTTATTTCAGTTACTGTATTCTTTTGTTTTTAATATATCTTTATTGATTTCAGAGAAAGGAAGGGAGAGGGAGAGAGAGAGATAGAAACATCAATGATGAGAGAGTCATTGATCAGCTGCAGCCTGCAACCCAGGCATGTGCCCTGACGAAGAATCCAACCCCAATCTCCTGGATCCTAGGCCAACTCTCAACTGCTGAGCCACACCCAGCCAGGCTGTATTCTTCATTTTTATTTTTTTTTTAATATATTTTTATTGATTTCAGAGAGAGGAAAGAAGGAGAGAGAGAGACAGAAACATCAGTGATGAGAGAGTCATTGATCAGCCGCAGCCCGCAACCCGGGCATGTGCCCTGACCGGGAATCGAACCGATCGCCTGGATCCTAGGTCGATGCTTAACCGCTGAGCCACGCCCGGCCAGGCTGTATTCTTCATTTTTGACTGGTTCTTTTTTATGGTTTCCATGTCCTTTTTGCTGTTGAAGTTCTAATTTCATTGAGTATCCTTATAACTAGTAGGTTGCTTGTCTCCATTTTATTTAGTTCTTTTTCTGGAGTTCTTTTCTTTCATTTGGGGCGTGTTTCTTTGTCTCCATATTTTGGCAAGCTCCCTGTGTTTGTTTCTGTAATTACGTAGAGCTGCTATGTCTCCCAGCCTTGGTAGAGTGGCCTAATGTGTTAGGTGTTCTGTAAAATCCAGTGGCACAGCCTCCCGGGTCACCCAAGCTGGGCACTACAGGTTCACCCCCCATATAGGCTATGTACACCCTGCTATTGTGATTGAGGTTTGATTGCTGTTGGTGTGTCAAGGGAGGGATTTACCCCCATGTCAACTGGCTACAAGAACTGGCTGCAACCACTGACCACCAACCATCATGGAGGATCAGCTGTGCAGGGATCCACCCCACAGAGTAGGACTTATTTCAGCAGGGCTGTTGCCCACTCAGCCTGCCCCTTGAGTGTGTCACCTTTGAAGATTGTAGGGTGGTGCATCAATGTGGTCTGAAGGTTTCCACTGGGTGTACAGGCCCTAGGGCCTCCCAGGAAGTGCAGGCCAAGGTCAGCCACCATCTGTGTTCTGCCTGAGGCCACCTGGCATGAGCTACAAAGCAATCTGCAGATGGTTGCTATTTGTGCTGGGTTTGGATGTGCCAGGAGAGGCCAAACTGTGAACCAAGGCCAGGTGCTACCAGTCCCAGGCTTGAGGCCACTTAGAGAGAGGTATGGGGCATGCTGAGGCCAGATGCTACTTGCTTGAGAGATTTTAGGAAAGTCTGAAGCAGAGCCAAAACAGGCCATTCGTATGGAAAAGCCACTGGAAATCATTTCGGTGAGCCCACAAGTTTGGTGGGGCAGGGTCTCAGAGAATCACCAGGGCAGGGTGAACAGTGATAGCCAGATTGATGGAGACTCAGATATGGTGCCCACCTGCAGGGTCTGTGGGAGGAGGGTCTAAGAAAACAAACAATGGCCTCTGCCAGCACTTTTGTCTGGCAAAAAACAGACCTCCTCCCCACCCCCCAGCTCTCACCCTGTTGCCAGAAAATTCAGTTCCCCTCCATGTGTCTCTGGCACCTTTCAAGGTGCTACCCCAGCACTGGACCTCAGAGACAGTGAGTCCAAGTAAGTCTGTGTATGGGCCCTTTAAGAGGAACTGCCTGGGGACTCCATCAGCCCTCTGTCTCCCTCAGCCACAATCCCCACTGGTTTTTACAGCCAGAAGTTGTGGGGACTTCTCTTCCTGGCAGTGGAACCCTGGATTGGGGAACCCGGTGTGGGGCTGGGAACCCTTACTCCTCAGGGGGGACCTCTGAAGCCAAGATATCCTTCCCAATTTTTATCCACCATACATGGGTGTGGTACCAGCCTGTTCCACATCTCTACCTTTCCTACCAGTCTCCATGTGGCTTCTTTTTTAATTCCCTAGTTTAAGACTTCCATCCAGCTAGATTTCAGGTTGTTCTGAATGATGATTGTTCTGTATTGTGGGAGGATGCGAGTTCTCCGTTTACCTACACAGCCATCTTGGCCAGAAGTCCCTAATAGTATATACTTTAAACTATTGTTTTCTTTTTCTCTCTTTCTTTCTTATTTTGTCCTCATCCAAGGATATTTTTTCCATTGCTTTCCAGAGAGAGTGGAAGGGAAAAAGAGAGAGAGAGAGAGAGAAACATCAATGTGAAGGAGACACATAGATTGGTTGCCTCCCGCATATGCCCCAACAGGGGCCAGGGATCAAGCCTGCAACCGAGGTACATGCTCTTGCCCAGAATTAAACCCAGGACTCTTCAACCCACAGGCTGACTCTCTAACCACTGAGCAAAACCTGCTGGGACTACTCTTTTCTTTTAAAACGTTTAATATAAATTGCTACTAGGTGTTTCGTAGATCTCTTGGTGGTGATGTATTTGTAATTGTATAATAGATATGTAACTGCTTTCTCTTGTTTTTCCCAATGTAATATTTTGTTGGGTGCTTCTTTTACTTTTAGAATGCAGAACAGAACATGGAAAGTCATGCTGTTTTAGCATTGAGAAACCTGTAGTAAGTAACTAAAGCAAATATTTAAGTATTCTTTTAAATTTACCTTGTCATTCCAAAATATGAAAATTCACTGTGTTGTTTTATTCTCTAGAAAATATAATTTGTAACTGTTATCTGGTTAAAATTTCATAATCTCCCTTATTCAGTAGATAAAGATCCAATTTGGCATTGCTAAAGATAATACTAATGGCTCATTGTTTAATCATAATATTTAAGCACCTAATATGAAGAGAAGGATATACTTAGCATCACATGAGACTTAGGGAAATATTATGTCATAAATTACAGATAATAATTTTTAAGTATCCTACTCAAATTTTTGCTATTTATTTTAGGTTTCTGATATTCAAACAAGATCTGCTATTATTTCATGGAAACCACATAGTTCTGAGAAATGTAATCATGCTAAATCTCCTGTAACATTTGAATTGGCAGTATCTAACAGCAGTAAAAATGGAAAATATAAAAATGTGTATATGTAAGTCTCTTTTTAATCATCTCTCATTTCTTTTTCAATTTAAATATGCTATCTAAACACATAGATCTCAACTTATATCTAGGCTAAGTCCTAAAGATTTTTCTGCAATGTTTTCCAAGCTTTGAATGCAATTTTCTACAGAAATAGTTCTATAAATGGTGGTAGGCTGCCAGGTCAGTCCACAATATTTATTGAATCATAAGTATGTTAGAGCTGAGGGGCCCTTAAATATCAACTGGTTTGTTCTCTTAGTTTACAGCTTTTCTATTTGACAAGTTTAGACTAGGGAAAGAAAAGGTTCCCTCTAATTTTCCCTTATCTTTTTTTCACTTAGATCATTTTAGGGAAGCAGAAAGTTTCACATGATGGTAGGCCTTTGGGTACACAAGTGAGATATTTACATTGCAAAGGAAATTTAAGACTTGATGTCTCCTGAGAATTTTATTATATGAGCTAGCTATGAAGTGGAGCTATGATAGTAGCAGGATAACCTTAGGAATGTGCTCAGAAGATAGAACCAGGACTAGGAAAGACACAATGGAGGACACAGCAAGAGCATACCCAACCACTCCCAACAGCTTCTCAACTGGATAGGGACATGTGATCTGAAAGAGAGAAAGCTGAGAGAGGCACAGTGAAAAGGAAACCCCAAGTGGGAAAGAAAGAGAAAGTCCTTTGTCCGACAAACAACCAGGCAAGAAATAAGTCAGAGACCTGGATCTGTCTGTTCAGCACTTTAAAAATCATAACAGCCCAGCCAGGTGTGGCTCAGTGGTTGAGTATCAACCTAGGATCCAGGCTATCAGGGTTTGATTCCCGGTCAGGGCACATGCCCAGATTGCGGGCTAGGCAGCCAATCAATGACTCTCATCACTGATGTTTCTATCTCTCTCTCTCCCTCTCCTTTCCTCTCTCTGAAATCAATAAAGATATATTTAAAAAATAAATAAATAAATAAATAAATAAATAAATATCGTAACATATCTTAAAATTTATTTACTAGAATTTATCATCTTTATTTAGAGACTCAAAGTGAAAATTTGAATATAATTAATTACAAAAATTATTTCTTTTATAATTAGGAGCTAGAAATTTTATCTTAAGAATTACAATCCACAATCTTTTATATTGGCTAGAGGAATAGGAAGTTGTAAAATGCAATGAAAAACTATTTATAAAATTAAGTTTTGTTTCAATTTACATGGTGGTCTTTTTCTGATGTTAAGTACTTCACAAAAGTCATTGTTTTTTATAAAAATATACTTGCCTATATGTCAGATTACCCTACATCTTTGGCCTTTGCTTAGAAGTAATAACCTTTTAGCTCTTTTTATTTTATTTTATTTTTTTAATCCTCACCCAGGGATATTTTTTCCATTGCTTTTCAGAGAGAGTGGAAGGGAGGGGGGGGGAGAGAGAGAGAGGGAGAGGGAGAAAGAGAAACATCAGTGTGAGAGAGACATGGTTGCCTCTGTAAGTTCCCCGAGGGCCAGGGATCGAGCCTGCAACCGAGATATGTGCCCTTGACTGGAATCGAACCCGGGATCCTTCAGTCCATGGGCTGACGCTTTAACCACTGAGCCAAACTGGCTAGAGTGATCTTTTAGCTCTTTTTAAAGGCTATTTCAGGATTTAGAGCTTGAAGGAGCTCCTTGAGGTAGTAGAGTATACCTAGACACTTATGACTGTTAGCTCAGGAAGATGTAGCTGTGGGAGCACAGCTACTTTATCCACTATAGCAGGTAGGTGCCCACCCCAGAAAGATTGTTCCATGTGATTGAATAAACAAATTGCATGATACATGGTGTCTTTGAGGCTTTTCATAACAACACTATTTAAAATAAGCCAAAGACAAATCTTTATTATTACAGTGTGAAGAAGTTGCAGTGGTAAAATGATAAAGTTTCATTTCTTAAAGCTTTATTAATTTGGCATGAAAATGAAGAATTTTGAATTAATAATATCACTTTTTTGCATTCATATAAAATAGGTTAAAATTATCTAAACTTCAAGGAGAATTGTGCTTCTTTATCTGTTGACTACATAATATTAGGAATGTTACTTAACTTTTCAATATATGCAACATCTATTATAAATAAAGGTTATCTTCACAGTGGTGATGGAGTTACATTTACTCTACTTGAGCTACAACCATCCATGGCCTATTTTGTAAGGTAAGAACTCCATCCTACACAACCTCCCCCACACTTTAGCCAGCCAGATTCCCCAGGCTGTATCAGTTCACTCCTTACGATTCCTGCAGTCAGCCTTGCTATGTGCTAGAAGAGTGGCCTTTCCTTCAAGCTTTAAAACAACCTCCTCCAAATAAAGCATTAGTTCACTTTCTTTCATTTAGAACAGGTGAGAGGGTGATTTGGGAAACATCTGTAACAATCCAGCTTTATGTTATTAGGAAATATTTTATAATTATCTCCTAAGAAACGTATCTGGAAACTCAAGTATGCAATTTAATACATATGTTAGGATAAATATTTGAAAGCTTACAACAATTATCATTACATTTTTAGAATTACAACCATAAGAGGCTCAGCACACAAAACTGTGTCTGAAGTGGTTAGCTTCACAACTCCAGGTTGCGAACCAGACCCTCCTCTTGCACCCACACTGATTAACCGATCCAAGAGCAGCCTGAATTTACAGTGGAAAGTAAGGATTTTACTGCCAAAAGCTCTTCAACATGTGCTTTCTTAATTTAAAAACATTATTTCTACTTCATCCTGAATTTTAAATATGAAATTATGCATGTCTTACCTGACCTATTTCCCTAGCACTTTTCTTTCTCCATAATCATCTTTCTCTTCTTTCTATCTATATCAAGCATCAAGTAAATTGAAAATGTCAATCAGAATTTCAATAATTAATAAAAGTTGAAGTGTCAATTTCTACAACCTAAATTTATTTATAATTGTAGCTACCAATAAATCTACCTCTCAGTTTACTAAGTACTAACATTTTTATTGCATAAAATTTGGAAGACAAACAAGACAGAATTTGGGCATGTCTTACAGACTGTAAAAAAATGCATTTTAATTTTAAAATATGTATTGCTTCAAAAATAAAATTTAAGCACATTAGTTTTACAGTAACTTCTATCACTTTAATTATTTGTATAATATATATATGTATACACATATGTATTTATATACTGTGGAAAAACATCCCATCATAATCTTATCTTTCTGATATTTTTAGGGTTCCAATGATAATGGTTCCAAAATAAACAGCTTCCTTTTGGAATGGGATGAGGTAAACAGTTTTATTTTTATTTTTTCTATTTAATTTACTGGAGTGACATAGGTTAATAAAATTATATAGGTTTCAGGTGTACACTACTATAATACATCATCTGTATATTGTATTGTTTGTTCACCACCCCAAGTCAAGTCTTCTTCTGTCAACATTCCCCCCCCTTACTCCCTAACAGTTTTATTTTAAAAGAATTTGCTTGTGATTATTACTATTATGAATTTTTGTTATTTGTAGCATTTTATAATATTCTAATATTTTGTGTATATTATTAAGGGCAAAGGTGAAGACTTCAAAATTTGCTATATGGGAACAATGAAACAGCACAAGATCCTTAAACTGAATGCTTCTACAAAATATTCATTCAGATTAGCTGCCAAAAATAACTTTGGTTTGAGGTACATTGAATTATTGCAATATTTAAAAGTCTAAACTTCAATAAGAACCTGAAACTAATTTTTCCATCTTAATTTATTTTTCAGTGATTTCAGTGATCTAGCAGTCTTCCATACATCAGGAAATATGCCTCCAACACCTTTACCCCCTAAGCTAAAAGAAGCAGGAATCTGTAATTTGTCACTAGAATGGTGTGCCCCAACTAACACAAACCTAAATGACAGCCTTACTTATATACTAGAAATGGAGGAAGCAGGATCTGTAAGTTTTCTTTTCATCTACTTTAGTCTTCAACTTCAGTCTTAGGTACATTTTATATGCATTTTACACTGAAAAATTTTTAATTTGATTAATTTCTACTCAAACTGCATGATTCCTTAGTCTCTGCATTTTGGATAGGACCAATGCGGAGCCAAGGTTAGGCAAACCTGCATAGCAAGATCTGAAGGTACCCAAATCCCTGCAAATTAGCTAGAAGCACCAGCAGCCATAACAACTGAGTAGAGACTCAGATAATTGTGTTAGTTCTTTAACTGTGGGCCTCTCCCTGACGGACGACCTTGTAAAATCTCACAGATTTTCTGTATACTTCTACAACAGGGCAAGCCCTTTCCTTATCTCCCTGGTTTTTTGATGTGAGTGGGCAAACTGTTTCATTCCATTCTGAACTTTCAAGTCTATACTTTAAATGTTTTTGTTTGTTTTTGTTGTTGTTTTTAATTGATTTCAGAGGAAGGAAGGGAGAGGGAAAGAGAGAGAAACATCAATGAGGAGAGTCATTGATCGGCTGCCTCTTGCACGAGCCCTACTGTGGATCGAGCCCGCAAACAGGGCATGTGCCCTGACGGGGAATCCAACCGTGACCTCCTAGATCATAGGTTGATGCTCAACTGCTGAGCCACTCGGCCAGGCTCAAGGCTATACTTAATAGGCTAGTCAACTTGAAAAGCAGCTGTAAATTTTATATTATGTATACAGGGTAGGGTAAAAGTAGGTTTACAGTTGTGAGTACACAAAACACAGTTTATTCTTGTATAATTATTTATTAATTACTGTATTTTTTCCATATGAACAACTAAACCTACTATTGTTCCACCCTGTATTTTAAACACATTTTAAATAAAGCAAGTAACGAGAAATGTTCTGTATAAGTAAAATGCTAAATGCCTTCACATATATTACATTCTGAAAAAAGAGAGACCCTTAAAGTATAAATTATCTCCACTTTTCATGTAGAGAAACTGATGTTTAGAAAGATTAAGGGACTTGATCAGGACCACCCAGATGGAAAATAGGCTGAAGTTGGAACGTGAACCCAGACCTGCCTGGTTCCTAAATATATTGTCTTTCATTTCCAGGGGTTGGGTTTTAAACCTAAATACAATGGACAAGACCTCTCATGCACTATAAGAAATCTTCAGAGAAGTACTGCATACAAGTTTAGGGTATGTGGCTATAATTTATAAATTTGAATCACATTTTAATATAAAATTATACTCTTTACTAGAGATAAAAATGAATGCTTGTTTTGCTGAAATTAAACCTTATTTTGCATTTAGTTCTCAGAAGTTTTTAGTCAAATAACTTGCTTTATATTATTTGCAAACTACATATTTTCAAATCAGACTTTTATTTCCAGTAGTCAACCAAGCTATTCTCTCTTATTCAAAAAGATCATTGCCTGCAATATGGAGGGAAGGAGTAACCCCAGTGGAGAAGTAAAATATACTACCTGTCCAGATAAGCCTGGATCCCCTACAAAACCATATATAAAGGGAAAGATCCATGCACATAGAGTAAAAATTGGATGGGGTAAGTAATGCTTTTGCATTTAAAATTTACCCTCTGTGTCTTAATTATTAAGAAGAAATCTTTCTCTAATTGCCCTCAGTTTTATAAAATATTCTCTTAATCATTTGTATCTGAAATATTTCACCATATAAATGAGTTTGGTTGTAAACATTATTTTTTTTTTCTAGTTCTCTATTGAATTCTCTATTGCTATCTCATTAATTCACGCATGAACAAATTACTGAACTTTATATGGGCCCTTAAAATTATGGTTAGTTCAAGTAAAATTATATCTAATATAGAGGCCACAATTAGAAGGAAACATCAATAATAAATGTCAACTTGACATAAATTATATTTACACAAATTATTTTGCCTCTAAACTGGCAAAATCAACTTTAATGTACATATATTTAGCTTTTCAGTCTCTTCCAAAGAACTTTAAAATATTAATTAAATGCTTCACGTCCAATATTCCAAGCATGTAACTTGGATTATGTTTTTTATCACCTTTATTAATATGTGAAAATTAATATCTTATTAAATTCCATGTTTGTATTTTTCTCTCCATGAAAAAATTTAAGTTATTAGATAACTTTCCAGTGAAAGACTTTTAAGTTTATTGAAGAATGATTTTAACATTATTTCTCTTTTCAGAACCACCCAAAGATGATGGTGGGACATACATTTTAAGTTACAGTTTAGAAGTTAGTGAAAACTCAAATGGTAAGGCACCATGATTTTTTTGTTTTTATTTTGAAATAATTTTAGAATTTTCCTAAAAGTTGCAAAAACAGTATAGAGAATTCCCATGTATAACCTTTACTCTGCTTCTCCTAATATTAATATCTTACATAACCACAATGCAATTACCAATACCATAAAATTGGCATTGGTATAACACTATTTACTAAACCCCAGAATTTACCTGGCTTTCTCCAGTTTTTGGTAACAAGTCATGTTTTCTTACTTATGTTTTATGATTAAAACATAAATGTAAATTTACAGGAAATGTAAATATTTAACTATTATAAATAGGTAATTGGACCACAGCTAATTTCCAAAATACTTATTTCTTTGTATATACATAACAGTGGGAACCCATAAAATTTATAAGCTACCTACAAATAAATTGGATAAGTTTGCTTTTATCCCTTCAGTGAATTTCTGGAACATAATCTACAATGGAATCACAAGGGAATTTCTGTATGATCACCTGCAACCTGGTACTACATATAAACTGAGAGTCTTTTGCACTTCCTCTATAGGTCAAAGCCAGGTGAGGAAATGGAGATGGAAAAGTTTTTAAATCGAGAATTGGAATGACCTGTATCACATTACTAAATGTTTTTACAAAATTGAACTTGAATTCATTATAGTCATAAAGTATTTTGCATTTTTCTTAGCCTTCAGACATACTGACTATTCAAACACCTACTCTTTCTCCCGCATCTTGCTGTCCTCCACCATTGAATGGTAAAGCAAAGTCCAAACAAATCAACATCCAGTGTGGTGAGGTTTCTTGTATGATATGCATGACTATACCTAAATTTCCTATATTATAATCTCTGATTTTTATATATTTAATGTTATTAAACCAGAGCAAATGGTTTTCTTTTACTACAAAATCAAATAATATTTAGAAAATTGTTTCTTACCTGGACATTAAAATTACAAATTTTTTAATGTATGGGAATTAAAAAGTAAACTGATATAAATTTATATAAATTGAGTTCTATGTTACTTTGTTGTTTTTACATAGTCTTAAATTATTTTGTATTATTTTAGGAAGCACCCTTAAAATTATTTGAAAAAATTTTTTGTTTATTTTGTATATTTTTATAGACAATCCTCCTATTAATGGAAACTCTGAAGCAGTTGCATATGCCAAAAAGGCAAAAGAGAACCAAGATGAAACACAAGAGCTCTCTGGCTCCAAATTGAGACCCACAGTGAGTAGATAGGACTGGGGTAGTTACATTGTTCAGTTGATCCATTTGTAGTTCATTTCACTTTGGATGAATATATGCTTCTACTTCCTGTAAAAGTGGGAAGTGACCATGCCTGCACAATAATTTGTGTGTTGCTTATTTATTTGTGTTTATTTGTAGTTCGGATCTCATTCAACAAAGTATGAAACTATGCCAGGCCCAAGCCCTCCTTCTCAGTGTGGTACACCTGTGCTTGCCTGCAGAGGTTCAACCTGTGTTGTTGTTAGTTGGGGAGTATGTTATCAATTTATTTTATCTTTTTATATTTTTCAATTACACTTTACATTTGATATTATTTTGTATTAGCTTCAGGTGTACAGCACAGTGGCCAGACAATCACATACTTTACAAAGTGTTCTCCCTGATATTTCCCATACCCATCTGACACCATGCATAGTTATTACAATATTATTTACTTATATTCCCTATGCTGTACATTACATCCCATGACTATTTTCTAACTACCAATCTGTATTTCTCAGTCTCTTTACTTTTTCATCCAGCCCTCCAGCCCCCTCCTCTCTGGCAACCATCAAAATGTGCTCTATGAGTCTATTTCAATCAATTTAATTTTATTAATTTCAGTGATATAAAAGCACAGTAATTGATTTAGAAATTTTTTGAAAGTCTAGAACTCCCTAAGAAGTCAAAGTTTAGATTAGGGTTCCACAAATTTTTACCATGGAACTAGAACACACTAGTGCTAGACCTGATACTAGTGCTATTAGGAAGGCTAAGGCTATGGTAATCCTGTCTTACAGATCCTATATTTATGGAGGATAATAAACTTGGAAAACCAAATAGGCTATTAATAAGTAACTAATCAAATTTTTCAAATCAAAACAAGAGATAATAAAATTAAACCAATTTATAGAAGTTAGTATTTTTTAAAAGCATCACTGGGAAATCTGTTTGTTTGGATGTAACTACAATATGACACATAAGAAATGTGACTATGATGTAATGAAGCTTTTAAAAAAATAATTTTTACATCCATGTATCTACCTTCCCACTCAAATTTATCAAGTTAAAAAATTAAGAATTGGCCACATACTTATCTTTGAATTTTTTCTTCCCTTTTTACCATACTCTAGCAGAGGGTTTCTGGCATTGACACAAAAGCTTTTATCTGATAATAATAATAAATGATGAGTCTGATTGGCTATACCCTAAAGCCAGAGTAGTGGAGTTTGTGTTTGATCCCACTAATCAATTGCAATATTAACCAACATTAATATATCTAAGTTTGTTCTTTTTTAAGTAATTCACTTGAAAATAATTTTATTAATTAAAATAGTAATTCATCAAATATGTGGGATTAGTCAATCATTTTTCTTAATTTTATTTGAGCCTTTTGATGTTAATCATAGTTTTCTTATGTTTAATTTTTTCTACACTTGTCTCTATCTCATACCATTTAATAGATTATAAGCTATGACACTGAAAGGAACATGTCATAACCTTCCACAGTATTTAGTAGAGTGAACACTTATAGAAAAAACTCAATTTCTGTTTGTTGCATCTTTCAGATTCCTGTATGCAATGGTGCTGAAATCACTAATTATAGACTAGAGTGGGGACAAATTGAAGAATCGATGCACTTGATTTACACTGGCCCTTGTCTGAACTATGAAGTTAAAGGTCTCATTCCAGCAACTACGTATTTTTGCAGAGTTCAGGTAATCCTAACAGTTCTTCCAATGTAAGTAAGGCAACAGCTATTAACCTATGTATCCACATTCATAATACTGGCACCATTTCCAGTGTAGATACCAGAAGGGAGTCACACACTTCTAAATCTTAAAAATTCCCAATATTTAGCAGCAACATTCTGAGCTCCTTTACCTGGCACTTAAAGTCCCACATAATGTGGCACCTATTTTCTATTCCAACTTGACACCACTAATTTTCTCTATTTTATTTTCTCTATAGTTCTGTGTTTCCAAAATTTCCCTGAACTTAGCAACCACATGAAATGCTTGTTTAAAAACACTGATTCTTGCACCTCCACTCAGACCTATTGAATCAAAATTTCTAATCCAAAGACTTGCTAATCTGTATATATATTTTTATTGTTTATACTATTACAGATGTCTCCATTTCACTCCCCACATTTGCCCACCTCCACCCTGCACCCAAAGTGATAATTATTATCATTAAGGAAAAACTGCATAAACTATTTCAAACAAACAAGTTTACCACCATCCCCAAGTATGCATTGTACATTTATTCATACTGTGTTCTGCCTATCTTGTTCCATAAAACCAAACTTTCCCATGAATGCTTCCCTGAAAATCTTAGCTATAAGTGATCTCTTCCTCTTCTGAGCTACTATAATTATAAGACTCGTAACTTTAAGGTTTGGGAAAATAGTCCAAATTTAGAGCAACCTGATATGTTGTCCCTATAAAGTCAAGCCATCAAATTCTAGGAGCCCATATTACTGGACATCTAAATTGCATCTCCCAGATTGCCTTTCATAACTGGAAGTTGTGGTGGTTTTTGTTTTGTTTTTTAAATCCTGTCATTTTTTTTTGATATCTCTATTTTTTGTATTTGAAAATGCTCTAATATATATTTATTAGTTACAAGTTCACTGCAATAGTCCAAAGGATAGGTTGACTTCTTTAGTGGGAATGCGGAGATGTTAATGGGTTTGAAAGATATTAAAGGTTAAAATCAATGGAATGGGTTTCTGCCAAGACAGAGTATCCTCATACCTCCCAGGTCCTACTTCTTACAACTAAAAAACCTGAACATAACATAACAAACAAGTATAGGAAGACTGAATGGTGGAAAGAAAGGAAAATGTAAAAAGAAAAAGAGCCCTGGCTGGTGTGGCTTGGTTGAGGTGTTATCCCATGCACTGAAAGGTGGCAGTTTCGATCCCTGATCAGGGCATATACAGGAGGCAACCAATCTTCCTTTCTCTCTTCCTCTCTCTCTCCTCTCTCCCTTCCTCTCTCTAAAAATCAATAAAATAAAAAGGAAAAGATCCTAGGGACCTCACAACTTGAGAAACAACACAGTAGTGAGCCCCTTGGGTTTCCTTATCACCTCCCACATATCCAAAAAAAAAAAAAAAA